GTAATAAATAATTATTATTAATAAAACAGATATCCATCCAGGCCCTTTTGGCTTTTAGAGTCTCTGTTGAGAAGTCAGGTATAATTCTGATAGGTCTGTTTTTATATATAACTTAGCACTTCCCCCTTGAAGCTTTTAATATTCTTTCTTTGTTCTGTATATTTAGTGTTTTGATTATTATGTGGTGGGTGGATTTTCTTTTCTAGTCCAATCTATTTGATGTTCTGTAAGCTTTTTGTGTGTTTATAAGGATCTCTTTAGGTTGGGGAAATTTTCTTCTATGATTTTGTTGAAAATATTTTCTGGTCCTTTGAGCTGGGAATCTCCTTCTATTCTTATATTTATTATCTTACTTTTGGCCTTTTCATAGTGTCCCAGATTCCTTGGGTGTTTTGTATCAGGAACTTATATTTAATGTTTTCTTTTACCAGTATATCAATTTCTTCAATCATATCTTCTATGCCTGAGATTCTTTCTTTTATTTCTTGAATTCTGTTGGTGATGCTTGTGTTTGTAGTTCCCTAGGTTTTCCATCTTTAGGATTCCCTCAGTTTGTGTTTTATTTGTTGCTTCTATTTCCATTTTCAGGTCTTAAGCAGTTTTATCATTTCCTTTACCTGTTTGATTGTGTTTTTCTGTATTTGTTTAAGGGATTTATTCATTTCCTCTATCATTCTTATAGCACTGTATCTTCTTGTGCATTGGCTGTGTTAGTATCCAGGGCTTGCTGTAGTAGGATAACTGGGCTCTGGTGGTATCATATTGCCCTAGATCTTGTTGATTGTGTTCTTCCACTGGTCTTTAGCCATCTGGTTGTTTCTGGTGTTGACTGGATGTTCCTGGTGCTGCCAGGACTCTTCGGGAGGCAGTCAGAGCTGTGGGCCTGACAATGAAGCTCAGGGAATAGCATGCTGCTCACCTTTGCTCGCTGTTCTCCAGGTGGACCTGAATGTTCCTGCCCCCCCCCCCCCCCACACCTTTGCAGGCATCTTTGGGAAGGCAGGCAGAGTCATGGGCCTGATGATGGAGCTCAGGGGACAAAGTGCAGCTCACTGTTGCTGGATATGTCCCAGGGGGACCAGGCAGGCAGGAGATTGGCATGGAGGGGTCTAACCTGTATGTTTCTGGGGCACAGCAGACCTCAGGAATAGCTGAGGGATGCATGGTGGAGCTCAGGAAACAACTCACAGCTCACCTCTCAGTAAAGAATACATTTAAAACAAGCAGTGATCCAGCGAGATGGCTTAACAGGTAAAGACAAACTTAATCTTTATTGCCTTCAGGTTTGCTGTCAAACCTGGTGGCTGCAGTCCTGTGGTCTACATGTTAAAGGAAGAAAACAGACTCCTATAATTTGTCCTGTGACTTCCAGATGCATGCTATAGAATGCACACAAACACACATATGTGCACATACACACACGTTTTAAAACCATGTTCCAGAGGTTGTTATCAAGAAAGGAAATTTAAGGACTGGAAAAATGGCTCAGTGGTTAAGAGCACTGGCTGTTCTTCCAAAGGTCCTGAGTTTAATTCTCAGTAACCACATGGTGGCTCTTAACCATCTATAGTAAGATCTGGTGCCCTCTTCTGGTGCATAGGTACACATACAAGGAGAATGCTGTAAGGAAGGAAAGAAGGAAGGAAGGAAGGGAAGGAAGGAAGGAAGGAAGGAAGGAAGGAAGGAAGGAAGGAAGGAAGGGGAAAATTCAGATTAGGAGAAAAGTCTTTCAAACATACTAAAATCTGTACACCTAAAGAAGCTAAGCAAGAAGGAGGACCCTGGGTAAGATGATCAATCATCACTCAGAAAAGCAAATGGGACAGACATCAGACTGGAAGAGGGAGAAAACAGGAACAGGACAGGAGTCTACCACAGAGGGCCTCTGAAAGACTATACCCAGCAAGGTATCAAAGCAGATGTTGAGACATAGCCAAACTTTAGGCAGAGTGCAGGGAATCTTATGAAAGAAGGGAGAGATAAAAGACCTGGACAGGACAGGAGCTCTAAAAAAAATCTGGGCACAGGGGTCTTTTCTGAGACCCATAATGCAACCAAGGACCATGCATGGAAATAACCTAGATCCCCTGCACAGATGTAGGCCGTGGCAGCTCAGTGTCCAAGTGGGTTCCCTAGTAATGGGAACAGGGACTGTCTCTGACATGAACTTAGTGGCTGGCTCCTTGACCACCTCCCCCTGAGGAGTGAAAAGCCTTACCAGGCCACAGAGGAAGACAGTGCAGCCAGTCCTGATGAGACCTGATAGGCTAGGGTCAGATGGAAGAGGAGAGGAATTCCTCTATCAGTGACCTAGGGTAGGGGCATAGGAGGAGAAGAGGGAAGGGTGGGAGTAGGAGGGGGCAAAAGAGGAGGCTATAGCTGGGATAAAAAGTGAATAAATTGTAATAAATAAAAAATAAATTAATATATATAAAGAAATGTGTACTTCAGCATATGAAACTCTTATAATAACCAACTTTTACAAGTGGCTGTTGCATTCTGGGATGGGAGGTGATCTGGCCTTGTGGTCCAGGTTCATTGTCCTGCTTTTATTCATGGCAGTCCCATTCAACCATGGCCCAGTCTGACAGCTGTCCCAGGTGAACCTAGTTCTGTTTTGTGACACTCTCCACTTTTGTTTCTGATTCTTTGTCAGCAACATTGACTTACTTTTCTATTGCTGTGACAAAACACCTTCATTAAGGCCACTTACAAAACGAAGTGTTTAATGTGGCTTAAGGTTTCAGAAGGTTAAAGTCCACAATTGCAGGACAAAGGGACAGCTCTTATATTGATCCATAAGCAGGAGGCAGAGAAACGCACTGGAAATGGCTCAAACCCTTTGAACCCCCAAATCCTCCACAGTGTCACAGTTCCTCCAACAAGGTCACACCACCTAATCCCTTTCCAACCAGTTCTACCAACTAGGGACCAACTAGTCAAAAATATAAGCCACCCTGGCCCTGATTTAAGCTCTAGGCATATTTTACCGTGTTTTCCATATTATGTTATTTAGCAATACAGTTGATTTTTCAAACTTGACTGTTAGACCTTCATGACAAAACTGTGGATACAGTATAGTATATTGTGTATACTATACACAAAGTAGCATAAGGTAGGAGGTGGGGACTTCCGCTTTACGAATGTTTATGTTCGTGCATTCAGAAAATGATAGTGGTACATTGATATGGTGAGCCTCAGACTCAGGTCTCTTACCCATGCCTTCCAGCCCCTGGTCTGTATAGTCATCTTTCCTTCTCATTTGCTGAACTACAAGTTAATGATTTCTCAGTTCACGGAGACATTTCTTCCAACATAAATATAGTCTTAACTGCTCCACCCAAGTATTTGAATAACTAGGAAAGGATAGCCACTGAACCATAGTTTAAAGAGTTTAAGCTCATTACCTAGCCCAGATACCCTGTTCATCTGCTTTTCCAAGGGCAGCTGAGAAGATGAACTGATTCTCTGTTTGTTTTTGTTTTGTTTTATTTTGTTTTTCTTTGTCCCTCACTTCCTGTGACCCCAGGCTCTCTCCTCTCAGAGCCGAGAGGAGCCCTGTCCAGCCTCTTATGCTCTTATTCACCTGCAGCCACATGCTCCTCTTCTCATTCCCTTGGGAAAGCAATATTTAAGTCTAACCATTTGGCCTTAATTTTTCTTCCACTTTTTTCCGGGTTTTGTTCTTAAGTATTTTTAATTAAATTTTTAGTTGGACCCAGAATAATGGGTTTCATTATGGCCTTTTCATACATACCTGACTTTGTTCTTTTCTAGCCCCTACTGCCCTTTCCAGGCCACCCTGCTCTTGCCCTCTCCTTCCCCCAAGACAGCCTTTCCTTCTGCCCTTTTGTAATATTTATTCCATTACTTTCCCTTGTCTCCCTCTTCACTTGCTTTACACCTCTCCCTTCCCTTTCCAATAACTTAATTTCCCAGTAATACCACAGGCTGGAACCTGCTTTAACAGGCCATTGGCAGATATTTATGATGTGAACCACCTGAGTGCAGTGCTTCATGGGAGACTAAGGCAGAGCACTGCCGTGAGTTCCAGGCCAACCTGGGTTGCACAGTGAGATTCTGTCTCATAGTCTCCTTTTCTCTAGAAAATACACATGATACTGGGGGGGGGGGTACTTTTTTCATGTTAACTGTTTATTGTCACTTCATTTCTCCTGCCTCTTCATTAGCCTTGTAGCCTTAGCTTCAGTGCTCAGCCTGTCTAGGGCCTGTTTGTCAAAGAAAACAATCCAATATATCCATGAACCTGTTGCATCCTGTTCCCAGATATTCATGTCCTCTGAATATCTTCAGCATAGATAACAAAATAGGAATGACCTAATAGAAGCCCAGTTTTTCCACTTCAGGTTGTATGCTGATGTTATAATGGGAAATAAGACATGAACACATTGATATTTTATGAACTCATACATTGTTTTTATATGAAAAAACTAATACCATAATTTTTGAAGTTTTTAATATTAGCGAAAAATAACCACCGTTATTCCTTCTTCCATACTTTAGTTGCCATTAGCATTATTTTGTTCTGGTTTGTGTGTACATATGTTGTTTGCTTTTATAAATAAGGAAGGGATATTTTTATATTTTGGTCAATCATAAAACTGTCTCTTTTATTCATATTTTATACATTTAAGATAACTGAGATAAGATGTTATAAACTACATATTAGCTATGCATGAAAATGATACAAAAACCCAATTGTATTGAAATAAAACTTTAATAAATTTCTATTGGGAAAGCTAATTTTTCTATTTGCAAAAACTAAATGATGCTGGTTGTACATGTTGCTCAGTGTTAAAGTATGTGCAGGGCCCTGGATTTTATTCCCGGTGCCAAAATACAAACAAAAACATTTTTAAAAACCTCAATGAAAATAAAATACACCTATAAAGAAAGTATGGGTCTTGTAGATAAAGTATCTTTAACTGGTAAAATCAGTTTTGATTTAAACTGTCATGATTTCTTTTATTTAATTGAAGGTCCATTTTAGCTTCTTATCTTCTGAAGGAAAAACTCAACATCTTGGGCAAGTTGGGGTGTCTGCTAAGCTGTGCAGGTTCTGTCGTGCTGATTATCCATTCCCCAAAGTCTGAGAGTGTGACAACTCAGGCTGAGTTGGAGGAGAAGCTGACCAATCCAGGTAACTCCTTTTTAGCAGGATTGCCAAATGTGTTTCCCAAGGAAGCCAGACATCTCAACAGTACCACTCCATCCTGGCACTTTCTGTCAGGACAGATGTACAGTGTCTACTCTGATTTTCATCACAGGTCTTGATTAGCTGTCCATTTTATGTGTGTACATCAGCTGGCTGTGAGTAAAAACCTAACCCAGTTTTCAGAGGTACTTTATGTTTGGCTTGATTACCTAGAGAATTCATAATGAAGTTAGGTAAGACTTTATTTCCCTTTGGTAACTTAGGCCTATTGTCTTAGTTACTTTTCTGTTGCTGCAACTAAACACCATGACCAAGGCAACTTATAAAATAAAGCATTTACTTAGGCTTATGGTTTCAGAGGGTTAAGAGTCCTTGATGGTAGAGCAAAGGAATGTTGGCTGGGACAGCAGAGAGCTCACATCTCGATCCACTTGTAGGAGGCGGAGAAACAGCACTGGGAATGGCATGAGTCTTTTGAAACCTCAAAGCTTTCCCCAGTGATACATCTCCTCCAACAAGGCCACACGTCTTAATCCTTCCCAAACAGTTCTACCTACTGATGATCAGGTATTGAAACATACAAACCTGTAGGGGTCATTCTCATTAAAACTACCACATCTGTAAACATTTCACATTTTAATATTTACTTATTCTTAACAAATCCAAAGTATTTTCTGAGTATGAGGATAAAGACAAAGGTATTAAAAACTAGACAACTCTATGAAGTAGGAAGAATGCCCTGAAGGGTTCACATGATTTCCAGAGGAACATATCTATAGGTTACATTTGGCCTATGCAGGCTAAATAAACATTGTACCTCTGAGCCATATTTTCAGTCCCCCTAATTTTGATTAGTGTGAATGATTCTGATATGTTCATATCTTAACTTATTTATACATTTGTAATTTATGTATATATAATTATACTTTTATTTTTGCTTTGTACATGCCTACGTACACATGAGTACTGGTACCCTTGGAGCCCAGAGGTGTCACACCTGCCTTGACTTGCCGCTACCTTCAGTTATGAGCTGCTCTGTTTGAGTACTGAGACTTCTTTTTCTTAGTCAGGGTCACAATATGTAGCTTGGCTGCTTGCTATGTATCCCAGGTTAGGCCCAAACTTGTAGCAGTCCTCCTCCCTCAGCCTCTTAACTGATCAGATTACAGGCGTATGACACCAGGTCCAGCTTTGTTTTGTTGATTTTAAGATGTTTTTAAATATATTTATTTATTGAGAATTGCATACATCTATACACAGTGTAATTCGATGGGCTGGAAAGATGGCTCAGAGGTTAAGAGCACTTGCTGCTTTACCAGAAGAGTGAGTTTTAATTCCCAAAATCCACATGGTAGTTTACAATCATCTGTAACTCTAGTTGCGGAATCTGATGCCCTCTTCTGAACTCTTTAGGCACCAGCCATGCAAATAATACAAAAGCATACATGCAGGTAAAATACTCAAACACATAAAAAAAAAAAAATCTAAATAAATAAATAAATAAATAAAACCCAAAAGAAAGCAGTGCATTTTGATAAAATCTGCCCTCATTCTTTTTCCTACAGCTCCTCCCATAACCCCACTTTAGCCTCTCAACTATGTGTACTCATTTTTTAACCCACAGAATCCACTCAGGGCTGCTAGTATATGTGTGGACAGCTCTCTCTCTCTCTCTCTCTCTCTCTCTCTCTCTCTCTCTGTCTCTCTCTTGGTACAACACCACAATTACCTGTTGCCCCAGAAGGCATTTAAACCAGCACTTAAATATATTTCCAAACCCCCTAATATTCAAAGATGGAAAGTCGAAGAAAATGTTCTGTGAGGGTATTTAGAGAGAGAATAGTGAGACAGGGGTTTGTATCTCAGTGTTAAAATAGCAAGGCCCCGGATGAGATACACTGCACCACAGAAAGAAAAGGAGGTGCTCAGAGTGTGCTCAGACGTGCACATGCTCGGTGCTGGCAGCATCACTCCAGGAAGCACGAGCTTATCCTCAGGGGAGAAAACATAAATCTTTTTTAATGTATGAAGGACAGATTTAGAGACAAAATCTGAACGGATAGACAGAATATCCATGGCATAAGTTTCATGAGGTTAAGTTACTTGTGAGAAAAAGTATAAACTGGATCCTTTAAAGTGGACAGTGTTGAAAAACATGCTTGACACACAGATTGAAAAGTCATACATCTGAGGGCATCTGAGAAATGAGAAACTCTGGCTGAGGAGAGGAAAATAAAGAGGTTTTCTGGTTGTGAATTCTTCGTTCTCATACATAGCTACTGAGGCTGCTGGCCAAGTCCCCCGTGTGGCTGGTGTTCTTGTCCCTTCTTTATCTAACTAGGCTGGCTGCCTCTGCATTCCTCATTGCTGCCATTGATGAGACCCGATTTTGCTAACCTCCACTAGCCTTACTTTCAGCCTTTTTTATTCTAGAGACCTTTCTGAAATGTCATTTGATTTTGTCTCTTCCAGTGTCAAGGCTCTTTGCATCCACCTTTCCCACAAGAGCAAGCCTAGACAGATCCACATTTGCACTCTGCTGCTGACCCTCTGCCTACTTGGACTCAGTCTTCCTTTGATTTTATACCAATACTTCCAAACCTTACATGTACCAGTCTCTCTGTTCTCCATTTCCACTTTTGCTGTTTGTAGATGAGGCTCTCACACAGCTTTTAACTATTCTTCCTTTGACTCTTTTCCTGAGGCTGCCTCCAGTACAGGGCAAAATAGTTCTCCTTTCTCACTCCTGATGGCCTGAGCTCCCACTGCCTGCTTGCTTGTTTGCATGTCCACTCTTGTTGCTGACTGATTTGCGTATCTAGCTGCTTTCTAGATCTGTGAAATCAACCTTGCACATGGAATTTCAGAGCAATCAATATAATGCCTCACTGTATAAACAAGCCATAGCAGAGCTCTACCTTCTTATTTATATGCTCAAATACAACTATATGAAAAGGCATGATGAAGTTGGCAGACCACACAAAGTGTGTGAGTGCTGAAAAAAGATGTTGTAGACATAGATACAAACTGATACATGATGTCATGTTTGTGACTTACTCTGAGCATATGCCATCAGCATGCACACTTGCCATCAGTGGTATGACCCTCTGAAATGGAGGATAACTCTTGACATCCCAGTAAGAAAAAGAATAGTCATCCTTCAGCCTACATGGGAGTTGTATTTGTAAAAAATTTATGAAACATTCACAAGGACTTCTTTGTTATATAATTTATAGCTCTGATAATTTATAATTTAATAAACAGATTCTTCATCTAGAAGTCCACGGAGACATTCAGAACTTGTGAAAAATATAAGATAATTTATGGTCGTGTGCTCTTTGTTTCCTACCCATACCCATTGTATGGATCCCCTAAAGCAGTGGTTCTCACCTTCCTAGTGCTGCGACCCTTTAACACAGTTCCTCATAGTGTGGTCATCCCAAGCATAAAGTTATTTTTGTTGCTACTTGATTACTGTAATTCTGTTACTGTTATAAATCTTAATGTAAGCATCCATGTTGTCTGATGGTCTTAGGTCGTAGGACTTAGATTGAGAACCACTGAACTAGAAGTTGTGTTGGTCCTAGACACTGCCACATTTAAGATTATCCTTGCTTTTGCTTATGCCCTTAGTATCATCTGTCTGTGGTAGATATTCTATAAATATTTGTTGAAACTGATGTGGAAGTAAGAAAATCCATCTTGTGGCCATGTACAATGGTGGCATGTACCTACAGTCTCAGCTACTAAAAAGGCTGAGTTGGGAAGATCCTTTAAACTTAGGTGTTCCAGACCAGTCAGAATGACAAAACAGGCCCAGTCTGTAAGAGAAAATTAAGTCCATCATGTGACTAGCTTTGGGGTTTTTTTAAACCTTTAAAAAACGGTTTTTGTTGTTGTTTTTTAATGGTACTGATAGAGTAGATGAAATAAACATTAGTAGTTAAGACACTTTGGGGCAAGATTTCACATTTTTATTGGGAGCCATTGTGGGGGCTTCCCATCAATGGAGGTGGTCACAATTTTTTCAGCTATTCCAGGCTTGGCCCTAGCAGGAGCCCTAGCAGTGGCTTTTTTCATTAGAGTATGTTTCCATCCATTTGGAGGGGCAGTGGGTAGTTGTAGCCTGGTTAGATGGGGCTGTATCCAACCAGAAGCAGAATTATAATGGGGTCTTTAATGGTAAAGGACACAAGGCAAAGACTTATTGGCACAGGCATTCCAATGAAGACAACTCTTCTGGCCTACTGTTACCCTTGTGGCTGCAGTAGCTTGCAACTACACATTTTTGTTTTACCATGCTTGGGTTCAAACCCAGGGCCTTGAGTATGTTGGGCATGTACTCTACCACTGTACTACATTCCTAATTCCCATGACTGTACGATAGTCTGTGGAATGGGCTGTTGAGCAGCTGCCTGTTCTCCCTTAGGTTTCTCTCCCCTTAGGGGAGAAGGGGTGGTAGAAAGGGATCAGGCACTCATTCAGCTCTGCCTTCTGGGTAGTGTCTGGTGGGATGGCTTCCCTGGTCACTATGTGCTATCTGTCTTTCAGTGTTCGTGGGCTACCTATGCATTGTGCTGCTTATGCTGCTACTGTTGATCTTCTGGATTGCACCAGCCCACGGGCCCACCAACATCATGGTCTACATCAGCATTTGCTCCTTGCTGGGGAGTTTCACTGTGCCTTCCACCAAGGGCATTGGGCTGGCAGCCCAAGACATCTTGCACAACAATCCATCCAGTCAGAGAGCCCTCTGCCTGTGTCTGGTGCTCCTGGCTGTCCTGGGCTGCAGCATCATTGTCCAATTCAGGTACATCAACAAGGCCCTGGAGTGCTTCGACTCCTCTGTGTTTGGGGCCATCTACTACGTGGTGTTTACCACGCTAGTCCTACTGGCTTCAGCCATCCTCTTCCGGGAGTGGAGCAATGTGGGCCTGGTGGACTTCTTAGGCATGGCCTGTGGATTTACAACTGTCTCCGTGGGAATTGTCCTTATACAAGTGTTCAAAGAATTCAACTTCAACCTTGGGGAGATGAACAAATCCAATATGAAAACAGACTAAGATGCAACTAAGGAGTGGGGGCTTAAGGAACAGGCATTGAAGGGAATCTGTGGTTCTTACTAGATGTCAAGCAGAAGAGACTCTTGGTGAGAGCTGCCTGTGTACTAATAGTCTTGTGGATAATAGAGAGCCTGGCTTTGCACCAGGGTGGGGTCCAGACCTCTGCAGCACAAGGCTCCCAATGGTTGTCTTGGTGTCAACTCTCTCTGATGAGACAAATCCTGTTTTCATTTCCATTAACCTAGAAGCATTCATAACTACTTGTTTAAAACATTTTAACATGATTTAACCAGAAAATAAGGATGAGGTCTTTCTAGTTAGTCTTTGTAGGGGAGCAGATGTTCTTAAAGTACCTTGGAAAAGGAAGAAACTGTTGTGAAATCCTGCTCTGTACAGTAAACGTGACTGACTTTGTGCTTGTGTTAAGCATGTATAGCGTTCAGGTATTGTACAAATAAGAGGTATATGAACTGAGTTGTTTTTAGTCCTTTAGCAACCTGACTCTCCTACATGTACCCCCAAACAGTGGTAAGCAGAGAGAGGACAGTAATGACAGTAATTCAGAGTTCCTTCAGAGTTCCATTGACAGGGTGACCTTCCAATAGCTCAAATCAATTTCAGTGCCTTTATCATTTAAATTATTCACTTAATTTAACTATTACTGTGTATAAGTTCAATGTTCTAATCACAGATATGTAAAGCAGTTAGAAAAAAATACTGTATTAAGTAGAAGATAGTGAAAACTAAAGATACAGAAAAAAAAGGAAAAGTGACCCATTTGTAACCCATTTGTGTATTGTAGTCTGATTAAGAACAACAAAATAAGTATGAAGAGATAATTTATTTTCATTTAACCTGTGTTACTTAGATCGTTATGGAAAAACACCTGCTTTCTGTTTCAGGAGGCATTATGTCCATTAAGAAGAAATAAACTATTAAACTTGACACTGAGGTTGTTACATTAGATAGTGTCTCTTTAGTACATACTGCAGGAGTTTAGTTAAAAGCACCTTAATACAGGAATAGATCAAAGGACACAGCTTAGGACTGTTTCTACAAAGGCCAACTTTTGGAGGCAGTTTCTAGCACAGATTAAAACAATGTAGCCTTCTTGTTTGAAACGGTACAGCCTTCTAAAGTTTCTTACTGAGCCTCTTACTAAACCTCTGACTGCATGCAAGGCCCTGGGTTTGATACCCAGCATTGAAGAGAAACAACAAAACAGCCTTCTTAAGTGGAAAATAGCTGTTAATCATGCAGTATTTTGATCAGAAATGATTCTTCTATCCATAGTAACCTTCCCTGTGCTTTAAATTGGAGTAAGGTACAAGGTGATACAATATAGCATCATATTATGATATTGTACATTTCACATGTTTTGTTTTATCTAAATGGAATAGGCCAGGTTTAAAAAATGGGGTTCGATAAATAATTTGGGTGAATTTTAATAATACCCAATTAAACGTCTTACTAAGATAAAAAAATGTGCGTTTCCACATAGAAAGGGCATTTCTAAAGTAAAATGCCAGCAATAGCATTTTTAATCTTTAATCCCAGAACTTAAGAGTCAGAGGCAGGTGTGTCTCTGAGTTGAGGCCAGCCTGGTTTACAGAGTGAGCTCCAAGACAGCCAAGACTATACAGAGAAACCCTGTCTTAATCTCCCTGCCCCAGAAAAAAAGACACAAAGAATAGTTCACTGACCTGTAGAATAAAAAGGGTAAATAAAATACTAGTTTAACATAAAAGAATTTGGTTTTCTGGCTCATTTGTCAGGTTTAATAAATTGAAATAAATGAATGATAACTTTGGTGTGTGTCAGTCAGTGACTTGTTAAGAACAGCAACAAAATGATCTAAACCATGTTTTGCATAAAGTAGTAGTTAGTAAATATTGAAGTTCATTCTTCTTTGCATCAACTCTTGAAATTTTTTAACCACCGGTGTCTTTAGGAATATTAAGCTTAATTTATTAAACAGAATAATAAGTGAAAAGTGTTATGCAGCAGAATCAGTGTAACTTTAATATAAAGGTTTCTGAGGTAAAAATACAGTGAAGAAATTTATACTGTGGAAATTACCTTGTTCATTTTTGCTATTTTCCGTGAAGCTTAGTTTAAATGTACTGGTTGATGCATCTGAAGTTTTAATCCACAGTTACATCGTGAATATCCAAAGGTGTTAATATTTTGTGTGTAAAGCAAAATTTCATAGTATTAATAGTTCTCCTAAGGTACTGAAAAGGCCAGATCGCGCAGGCTTGCATCTGGTCAGCAGATTGCATCAGTAGGCTTCATGCTTTTGTTCTGTTTCTCAAGTGGATAGTAAGCTCCATGATAGTAACTATCATGAATAGGGTCTCATTCTCAAATTTACTGTAGTGCACATGTGTGCATACTTACTACTATTTTACAAATTCAGTTTTTCAGAATTCACTTGTAAATGCAATAGAAAATAAAAATTCCCAAATAAGAGCTTTGGGGGAAGTCTAGAATACAAATGAATCTCTTATTGGTCTCTCCAAAAGTGGGCGCATAAGAAACACTTTCATTATTATGTAGTTTTAGGTTTTTATGTCTGATAAAACTTAAGAAAACATGCCTACTAATGTTCTTTTTTTCAAGTCTTTAAAATCGTCAAAATAAAAAATTTTGGTACCAATTTAGAGAATTACTCTTGGAAGACATTTAGGCCACTTCTTTCTTCTTCTTCTTGGATAATGCCATTTCTCATAAAGGTCTTTACATTTAAGAAGGTTGTTTCCTGTTTTAAGTACTGATCAAGTATAGGATCAGTTAGGGACTCCTACTGGAACCCAGATCCAGGATACTACGGGGAACATTTTTCTGGTCTGCACGAAGGCTGTGTCTGTGGCGTTCTAGAGGAGGAAGGCATAACTGCCCACACTGGGACCTGTGGAGAGGAACTGTTTTCCCAGTGTCCTTGCTGATCGCTGACACTATCACTGTATTGTTTCTAATAAAATATCAGGAAGATACATTTTGTTCAACAAGAGTCTATTTCTCTTGTTCAGGCCATTTTGTTCTGCTTAATTTGCTTTCCAGTTTATCACAGAAATAATATATTAATCTTTTCCCTTCATCGAATTTCATGTTTTCTTATCTTTTTGTGGTAGTAGGAAATTGAACATGGGCATAATTCATGCCAGGCAAGAGTTTTACCTCTGAGCGACATCCCTAACCTGTTTATGTATACTTTTGATAGAACCGTGTGCTATCTTTGAGTCTGACAGCATAGCTCATGGTCAGTGCTATGCTGAACGTTTAGAAGCGGGTCCCTAGGCTTCTGTAAAGTACTCAGATGCAGTGATTTTTAGATGTAGAAAAACAGATGGTCTGTGGAAACAAACATTGATGAGCATAGACTACTGCCCTTCTGCATAATTTTTTTTCTCTTTATCTCCTAACAGGGTCTTAACATGTATCCTAGCCTGGCCTTGGACTCCCAGTTACATTCCCCAACCTCGCCAGTGCTAGGATTATAGGTATAGTCATGACACTGGGCCTCCTGCATATTAGAATTTTTGTTAGCGGTGATACTTTTATTCCAGGTTGATCTAGCAGAAACGCGCTCCTCTCTGATACCCACTGTGTCTTGGTCAGTATTCCTGACCTCATGACTGTATGAATTAGGTCTAAGGAAGTATTCTCAATGTGTCTGACATCAAGGAGCTTGTTCATCTGTTAAGAATGACAGCACAGAATCTTGGTGTTAAGCCTTCTCAGGGACCAAAACTGTATTATTAGCTCCTTAGCATAGACTTCTAAGGACATAGCCACATTTTTCTTATGTTTTACTTAATACTCATTGCTAGATTCTGTTAAGTTGAGTTGACAAAAGGCCACTTGGTACAGCAATCACACTACAAGCCAGTTTACCACATAGAAGGCCTAAATGTTTTTTATTTTTCATTTACACATGATAGTTATCACTGGTGAATTTTAAGGGTCTGTTATTTATCTCATAAGTGATTTTTCACATCTGGCAATATTCATATATGTATTATACAATCAAGAAGATTTAAGAGTTATAGGAATAGTAATGAGCATTTGGCCTAATATCACTACTCATTTTTGTCATACACATTTCTCATATGCTATTAAATGCAACAAAAGAATATTTTTAAAAGTGATAGCTGTTGCAGCAAAAGACATTTAAAAAATTGATATTATGTAGAAAAAAATGAACATGTAAATAAACATCTATTTCAAATGTACCCAAAGTAATTTAAAAATGTAGTCCTAGGCCCATGGAATCAGGAATTATTTATTTATCCATTTTTAAAAGATTGATTTTTATTTCATATTGTATGGGCATTTTCCTGCATGTATGTATGTGTACCACCTGCATGCAGTAACCACCAGGGCCTGAAGAGGACAGAAGATCCCTTGGAACTGGACCTACTGCGGCTTGTGCACCACCACGTGGGCCTGGGAACCCAATCCTGAGTCCTCTGCGCAAACAGCAAGTGGTTTGGAGCATTGAGCCATCGCATCTCTCTAGCCCCAAGGCACTTATTTTTTTATTTTCTGAATTTTCTCCTGATTCGTGAAAATATATATGAGGTTTTTTTTTTTTATGTGAGTTTTTTTTTAACCTTGCCGTGCCTCAGTTTTTCTACCTCGAAAGTTGTGGAAGGGTTCTCGAGATTGATTGATTCTAAACTGGGAGTACACTGCATGGCACCCTAAACACTGCAGTTAGGGGCACCATGCTCAGAACTGCTCTGGGAGAGGCATGATGAAACTCAGCTTGCAGACTTTGGAGTCTGATCAAGACTGTGCTATAGAGCATGTAGCCTTGAACACCAAACAAGCAAAGGGAACATTGGATATGAAGTTTGCATGGTTCCATAAGACTTTAACTTTTGTTTTAAAGGTTTACATATTTTGTTGTACAATGAGGAAATAAAACATTGAAACATTTAAACATTAAACATTTTTAAAAATTGAAAGAGCAAATTATGATAGCATGATGAGTTCCTTTTTATGTTCTATTTTGGGTTTTGTACTGCATATATAATCTATGTGACCCATCCATTCTGTTGCATTGAATTTGTCATGAGAAACACTGAACTTCCAGCTTCTAAGTACCTTAACCCTGATACTGAATTCTCTTACATCAGGTGAATGTCAGGAGCTCCCAAAACACTAATGCCAAAGAGTCACCTCAAAAAATTTAGAATATTTCTTTTATTTGCTACAATACCTTGCATTTCACTCCAACAGTGTTTTTGCACTTTACAGAAATTTAAAGGTATAGCTTTTCAGTTGTATTCCTGTTTTTGCTTTTTAAAAGGATAATTATTTCCTCATGATATGAATATAATGAAAGAAACAGATTAAAAAGAATGTCAAGTGTTGGTTGCATAAAAATTTTTTTCTCACATAAATGTAGTAGGGGAAAATGTTTCTAGTTTGTACACATACATATTTATCAGTGTCTAAAACTTGCTTATGTTTTGCTTCATAGACGTAGTCATAGCATGTTATAATTGCCATATGTAGATTAAAAAGGCTCTTAAGTTTTACAATAATATTTATTATTCTGTATGTTTTAAAATAAAGTAAAATTTCTAGCTGAGTTATGTGTTGACTTTTCCCATTGCTTGGAATTCTTATGTACATTCAGATTCAAAATCATACCAATGTGTCACATTTTTGTTGTCTTAGTTATGTGCAAGCTGGACATGGTGCTGTATGCCTTTAATCCCAGCGCTCAGTAAGCAGATAGGCAAGTATCTGAGTTCAAGGCCAACACGGTGTTCACAGTGAGTTCTAGGACAGAGAACTTATCTCCAAAAACAAACAAAAGATTTTGCGTATATGTGAGTAACCAACTATACTTAGGTCTGCTACACACATTCCTTGCCCAAGGAGACTAGAAAGTGGAATTGGATCTCCTGGAACTGCAGCTTCAAGCAGCTGTGAACTGTTGAATATTAGTGATGAGAATCACCCTTGGTTTTCTGCAAGAGTGGCAAGTTCTCTTAATTACTGAGCTATCACTCCACAATGCAAAAAGTATTTATTGTATACCCAGACAATATGACTGCTCCAAGGTATGGTTAAGTGGAAGGTTTTTTATTGTAGTTTTGAGGGAGAAAGCCAGAGGCATCTGGAAAAGTCCAGAGCAGAGAGAGAAAGTAGTAGACCGAACCTAAACCATGGGTTGGGGAGTGAGAGATAAAGAAGGAGGAGGAGAAGACCCAGAGAGAGGGGTGTCCAGCTGAAATAGCAGGGTTATAGGGAGAAATGAGTAGCTGGGGAGCGGGAAGCTCCTAAACTGGAGGAATTTTAAGGTAGGGGAGGAGGTGAGAAGAGCTGGGTACCTGTGATACTGAAGGAGCCTGGAAGCCAGCAGGCTCTGTGGTATGCTAAAAGACAGGTAGTCATATGTCCCTTCTCCCAGGGGTAAGAAAACAGCTCTGGAGGAATACTGGCTTTTGTCTAACTGCCACATTTGGGGAAAAGAAATTTCTCTTGAACCTGACATTTATTACTTATGTATCTGTCTTAGAGAATGTATTTGTTTCTTTTCTGTTACTGTGATAAAATACAATTACGTTAAGGACCAGCAAGTTTATTTTGGTTTAATGAAATAATTTATTTTAATTTACAGTTCCAGGGGGATAGAGAGCTCATCATGGGGGGTGATGTGGAATGTAAGTAGAGCAGGGAGCTGGCTGATCACATTTTTATTTTATTTTATTTGGTTTTTCGAGACAGGGTTTCTCTGTGTAGCCATGGTTGTCCTGGAACTCACTCTAGACCAGGCTGGCCTCAAACTCACAGAGATCCACGTGCCTCTGCCTTCCAGTGCTGTGATTAAAGGTGTGCGCCACCACCCATTTTAATCACATTGTTAAATCCGTACATAGGAAGCAGGGAGAATGTGCAGAAGTAAGACAAGGCTATAAACTCTCAAAGCTTACCCCCTGTGACATAATTTCGCTCCAGCAAGTTTCCATCTCCTAAAAGTTCTATATTTTTCCCAAACAGTACCACCATTCATGGAGCAAATGTACAACTACATGAGCCTACCGGAAACATTCCTCATTCAAATCTCCACATATGTAGTTCAACTTCAAAAGCTCCCTTACTCTCTTGTTAAGAGTTTTAACACTGTTCAAAAGTCCAAAGTCTCTTCTGAGACTCAAGGCAATCTCTTTTTTGTTATTGTTTTGTTTTGTTTTGTTTTTCATGACAGGGTTTCTCTGTGTAGCTTTGGCTGTCCTGGACTCGCTTTGTAGACCAGGCTGACCTCAAACTCACAGTGATCCTCCTGCCTCTGCCTCCCAGAGTGCTAGGATTACAGGCTCAAGGCAACCTCTTAACTGTTACCCCAGTTAAAAAAAAATTACATATATGTATAATTAATATTAAAAGGGAGAGAATACACATTCCCATTGCACAAGTAGGAAGGGAGACGTAGTGAGGAAAGTCCGGATCAAAGGGAGACTGAAATCCCATTGGGGAAACACCAAATCTGTAGCTGCATGTCAGTATCTGGGTCTTCAGTTTCAAAGAGCTTAGATATTCTACCTCTGCAGTTTTGTTCTCCAAAACACAAATGTCTCTCTTGGGCGGGTCCTACTCCTTGTATGTAGCTCTCCTTGGCAGATGTCTAACAGTTGTGGGATCCCCAACATCTTGGTATTTCCATCTTAATATAGGCTTCATCATCACAACTTCACTAAGTGGCCTCTCAGGGACTCCAACCTTATCTACATGGCTTGGCCTTAGTGAGCCTCTCAGTATGTGAAGGAAGAACCTCAAACCCCTCAACTTTTTATCTTCCATATTTCTAAACCCAGTACCATGTGGACAACATTGCTAGATTTGGTTACCATTAAACCTGAATCATGAGGAAAAAAGACCAAACCCATGGTTGTCCAAAAAAGCAAGCTGTATTTTGGTATGCATCTGGGACTAGCTAGCTAGCCACTGTCTTACCCTAAGTTGGGTCTTAAGAGAGCAGCCCCTGCTGACCCCTTGAAGTCCTTTTTATGGGAAAGATAAGGTGTTCACAGGGGTAAGAGAAGTGTTGTACATTGTTAGAAAGATACAATGAGGGGCTAGAGAGATGGCTCAGTGGTTAAGAGCACTGCTACTCTTCCAGAGGACCTGGATTCAATTACCAGCACCCATATGGCAGCTCACAACTGTCTGTAATCAAGCACCAAATGATTTGACATCTTCCTATAGTCATACATGCAGGCAAAACACCAATACACATAAGATAAATTATTAAAAAAAGAAAGATATAATAAAAGGGAAGGAACAAAAGTAAGGATGTACATCATGTGAATGGAGCTGTAAGCAGTTTATATTAGCTCCAAGAAACAAAAACTTATTCTTAATTACAAATAGAAACTTTAACTCTCAGGGACCTAACACAAGGATAAACAGGAACTTATTCTTTAACTACAGCAGAAATCTAACCTGCACAGGACAAACAGAAACAATTTCTCCTCCTCCTCCTCTACCTTTTCTTCCTCTCTCTCCCTCTCCCTCTCTCTCTCAATAGGGCTTCTCTGTGTAGTCTTGGCTGTCCTGGAACTAGCTCTGTAGACCAGGCTGGCCTTGAACTCAGAAATCCACCTGCCTCTTCCTCCCAAGTGCTGGGATTAAAGGCATGGGCCACTACCTCCTGGCAGGAACTTAATAATGGATAGAAACCCTAACTTGAAAGGACTTAACATAGAACAAACAGGAACTTATTCTTAACTGTTTTAACTGCAAACATAACCATTAACCTGCCAAGGTATATTTCTTCTTGTTTTGGCCTCCCATTAATGTGCAAAGTATATTGTTCCTGTTTTGTTCGCATAATACCAGTTTAGGATGGAATCTTCCCCACCTTGTACTACAGTAACAGAAGTTTTTGTATGCTGATGCTTTCAAGGAAGCTTGCCCTGAGGGAACCATTCTTATTCTAATGATGAGTAGCAGACTTTTCTCTAATGGCACTAGTCTCCTTAACTATTACAGCCACCTTTTCAACACAGGACTTGGTAGTAGCTTTAAGCTTTCTAGTGCTCCTTTCCTCTCCAAGGTGCACACTTTTCATTTCATTCTGCTCCGCTTCTTGCTCCTTTTCATAGTAGGTGTGCATAAGAGTGTTAGAAATTGGGTTGGCGTTGTAAAGGAAGAAGTCATGACTCAAATTGAAGTGTCCCCATAAGGCAAAACTTTATTCTTAATCAAGTACAGAGAAGAGAAAGCACACATGAGAAGAAAGTGTATTTAGATTTTATTCTAAAGCAGGTGATTACTGTCTTTTCCCTCATTGGAAGGTCCAACACCACTCTGGAGATTGGCTAGTTCAAAAAGAATTGACACAAAAGAAATGAAGGAAATGAAGATGAGCCTGATGCCTTTGCACAATCAATGGTTTATCCCAGAGGATTAAAACCGTTGCATTAAAAAGTCTTACAAAGTAGGGGAGATACAAAGGTTTGAATCTTCTTAAATAGAAATTTTACAGTGTTTTTTACAAAAGACTTTTCTTTATAAGAATAATTATCAATAACTCTATCACAGACTCAATGTTATACTATCTTGAAATAAAAATAGTCAATTACTTAATTCAGCCTCATCATGAAAATTCTCAGGAAACAGGCAGAATACAGTCAGACTCCTTAGAAACATATCACAAAAATGGCCTTTAGCCCAGTTGCTAATAAAGTCCTTGTTCCCCTTTGAAGCCTCCTAAGCTGTCCCTTCACTTTCTGCATTACTCTTAGAACTGCTGTACTGCAGATTCCAATGACAAAGGTCCATTAAATTCTGCTTACATAAGCAGTTAACCTGTTTCCTAGTCTAAATCTCCAAGTCTCCCACATTCCTCCAAAAACTAACATAGGTTCTTCAGAGCAACAACCTTAATTACCTCATCCAAATTTCTGTATTGCTTACTTTTCTGTTGCTGTGATAAATTCCCACGACCAAAAGCAATTTAAGAGAGAGAACTTCAGCTTTTTGTTTCAGCAGGATAGACTCCATCATGGTGGGTAAGACAGGGCATAGCAGGAGAAGAAAGATACTGGTTGATCACATTTTTTCTCTATGCACATGAAGCAGAGTAGAAGCAGGAAGTGATGCTGTTGTCACCAGTAACGCATTTTCTCCAGCAGGCTCCACCTTCTAAAGGTTACATAGCCTGTCTAACCAAACACTGCCACCAACTCCAGCCAAGTGTTCAAATCCATGAGTTGGTTGGCATTTCTCATTCAAACCACAGCAGGAGGCATATCTATGATATGTAAAGGAATTCATCCTGTGAATTAATCTCCATGTTCACAGAAATGAACAACTTACAGAAAACTAGTTCTATTATTCTAATACTTTTTCATATTTTGAGTTGTATATTTTATATTTTAAGCTCAGAAAATTACAGAACCAGTCCAGGTGCAGTGGCGCATGCTTGTCCAGGAACAGTGTCCAGGTGCAGTGGCGCATCCGCAGAGGCAGGCGGATTTCTGTGAGTTCAAGGCCAGCCTGGTCTACAAAGTGAGTCCAGGACAGACTCTGTCTCAAAAAACCAAAAGAAGAAGAAAATGAGGAGAAGGAGGAGGAGAAAATGACAGAATAAAGCACATTTTAGTACTCAAAGCATCACTAGAAATTTTTCTATACAATTTTTGCTCTGTGTGTGTGTGTACACATATGTGCGCAAGATAAAACCAAGCCTTTTACACACATTGCATTTCTGTCACCAATGTGCTTCACCTCCAATCTGTTATTTTAGTTAATGGGGAAAATAAATATCTATTCACCTCAAATAAGGAGGATGCAGAACAATCAAAGAAAGATTACAACAGTGGATCAGGGTTACTTACAGGACTATGGACACATGGCCATTTCCATCACCCAACCGTCACAGTCTCCCACACACTAAGCTATTTTATATGTCTGTAAGTTTAGAGCTGAACAAATAGAAACCTGCATGCAAGACCCTTACCCAGTGTTAAAAGCAGTAAAGATGACTATACACTAAGACAACTTAAAGCATAACCAAAATCATACTTTGCCCTAATCAGATTCTGTTGGTCTTGGAAAACACTGTTCAGCTTTGGGAAGAATGACTTGTTTTGATTCAGGGTGCCATATAGAATAGCTTTAAGATGGTGTTACTCTGGCCAGGATTTGGACAAGTCCCACTATAGACTTATATACTACTATTACTTATTATTATCATTGTTGTTATTATTATCATTATTTGTAGTGGTGGTGGTACTTGGTATTGAACACACAGCCTTGGACATGCTACACCAGCATTCTACCATTGAGCTACATACTCAGCCTATCATTTTGAACCTTGACAGGGCTTTTTAGTTGGAAGGGTAGAGGGAAGAGTCAAGAAACAGTTTGAAACTGGGTAAATTCCTGTAATCATAGCATTCAGAAAGGATTAGGAGTTCAAAATTTCCTTCAGCTACACACTAAGTTCAAGGACAGCCTACAGGAGAAATTCTGTGTCAGTCATAAAACACCTTTGTATTTCCAAGAGAGAGGTTTTCAGCCAAGGATGTGAAAAGGGGCTCAGATTGGAACTGACCGTATCAATGGGTGACAAGGAAACCAAGTAACAAAATACAGGTAATTTAAGTAAAATAACGATGGACCAGAGGTAGAGGAAGGATCCAAATAACTTGCCTGTGTATAAAATTGTACCTTCTTATGTTTAGTTATTTGGGGATCTTGCTACCTTCTCTTCCCCTGAATTTGACATTTTGTTTGCAATAATAGTATGACTGTTTCCAATTACTACAGATTTTGGGGTTCACAGTAACATAGGTTGGTTACTATGCTCTGGAACTGAAAGCCCAATTCAGGTTTTATTCTGATTATGGGAGGATTAAATCATTTCCAAGGCTCAGGGAGTATCCATTCCTTGCCCCTTTCATATTTTAGAGTGCGCTTGCATTCTGTTATTCTGTTATTCCTGCCTCTTTCCTTCATCTGTGACCATTTGTGACCATTCTCCCATTGTCATTGCACATTACATAAAGTTTGTCATTCTTACCCTTCTCTTAGACCTTTTTGATGTTGGACCTACTAGAAAAAAATCAGAATCAATTTTCCATTTGAAGATGTTTAACTGTATCTACATAACATGCTCTATGATATTGCAGTTACAGGTTGTGAGGACTCTAATAGGGACATTGTCAAATGGGCATAATTCTATTTTCTATTTTACCAAGTGAGACACTTACTAAAAGCCAATTCCTATCTTACAGGATGCACTAGTGGTATAGCAAAGTTTACTTGAGTTATTCCTACTTTATTTTTTCCCCACTGCAGCAAATGTTTTAGAAAAATTCCTACTACATTTGAGGTTATCTCTGGCTTTGAGTAAACTAATATTGACTGAAACCATTTATATAATACTAATGTTTTAAATACTTACAAAGCCTGTAGTTCACTTCCCCATAATTCCCCAACAGCTCCTAAAAAAGCAAATTAGAGAAAGGGAAACTCTAGTGATAGGTGTTGCTGGTGGAAAAGAATGTGTCTATTTATTAGACATACTTTTTGTGGTTTTTTTTTTTTTTTTTTTTTTTTTTTGAGAGAAACTCCATCTCTATGTAACAGTCCCGGCTGTCCTGGAACTTACTATGTAGACTAGGGTGGCCTTAAACTCACAGATATCTGCCTGCCCCAGCTTCCTGAGTACTGGGATTAAAGGCATGAACCACCATGCCTGGCTTATACACACTTAAAAAAATAATATTTTAAGGCTGGATGTGGTGGTACAAGCCTTTAATTCCAGCACTCAGGAGGCAAAGGCAGTTGTGTCCCTGTGAGTTTGAGGCCAGCCTTGTCCACAGAGTGATTTTTTCAGGACAGGCAGGGCTACACAGAGAAACCTTGACTCAAAAAACAAAACAAACAAAAATTACTATTTGCTGAGTGTGGTGATGCACTCCTTTTATCCCAGCACTGGGAGGTAGAAGCAGGTGGATCTCTATGAGTTTGAGGCTAGCCTGGTCTATGTAGTGAGTTCTAGGATGGCTAGAGCAACCTAGTGAGAAGCTAACAAACAAACAAACAAAAAAACCAAATGCAAAACCAAAAATCTTTAATGAGCCTTGACTGTTTTTGTAGCAGTGACAAATAAGAGGTAATTGCTTTATTGAGGTCTAATTGGCACATAATAGGTTATAATCATATAGAGCATATAATTAATATGGTACATATGATGAAAATATCATCATGAGCAAAACTGTAAACAGTCATCATTTACTTTTGACACTTGAAACCTGCGTTTCTTGCCCATCCACTCCCACTTCTGCTGCTGTGTACTACTTACCATTCCCACTCCCTAGACTTAATGCTGGGTCATATAGTTGGAGCATATTTAACCTTTTTTTTTTTTTTTTTTTGAGACATGGCCTCTCTGTGTATCTTAGGTTGTCCTAGAACTTGTTATGTAGAGCAAGCTGGGTTGAACTACGCCTCTACCTTCTCCGTGTTGGAATTAAAGAAATCTGCCACCACACCTAACTATATTTAACTCTTATAGAAGCTGTCAGCAGGTTGTGCTACTTTATATTCCATCAACAACATATAAGAATTACAATTTTACTAAATTTTGTTACACTGTAACCACGCTGCCTTGAAACTCAGGCTAGTCTTGAACTTGTGGTAATCTTACTGTTCCTGCCTCTTAAGAGCCTTGAAAAATTAGCTTTTAGAACCTTAAAAGTATCCCATAATCACTGGATCAACATTCACAGAATAAGATATGGAGCATTATGCATTGGAAAAATGGTCTGGGCATTTAAGGAGCCTACATCATACTAAGTAGGCATGTGCATGTGTGTGTGAATGTGAGAGTAGCTCAAGGATTACAATGATGTAAGTAGATAAATGACATAGAGCAGTTCCTGGGATTGGAGCAGTGGGGAAAAAAAAGGTGCCACGAGTCAGTTCTTTTGGTTAAATTACAATGTTGATCCTACACACTCCCGTTCAAGTGAATCAACCAGTATTTTCATGCTAACCACCAGCTCTCTGGAGTTGTCTGTTGGTACCGTTATTAGTTAGTTATTGCTGCCTATCAATTCAAACCAAAATGAGACGGCAATCATTTATTCTTTCTCATATGCCTTGCTGATGTGGACCAACCTGACCCTTGCCTGCAGTTGTGAGTTAGCCAGGAAGTCAGGAGGGTAGCTTTGTTCCTGACCTTTTTCTACATTGTTACCTCCTGCCCACCAGTCCAAGCTTCTTACCAAGGTTCATTCTAATAACTGGCATTATTCTTTGGTCAACACCATTCTCTAGGACAATGCAGATTCAGGGAGAGTGGAGATGCAGTCACTGTAAAATGTGTGGACACAGGGAAAGGTGGAGAAAACTGGAGCCATTTTTCATTAATCTAAAAGACCGTCAAAGTCCAACTTGCCAGTCATGATTCTCTACATTCTATGTCATCTAGAAATTAGCTGAACCAGAGAAGTGAGCAAAATAAGACCCAGTTCCAAGACACTTGCGTGCCTGCTTGTCAAGTCCTCAGCAGAGGAGCTTTTAAATCAGCCAATTAGCAACTCCAGCTGTGTTTTAGGACATCACTTCCATAACATTAGAATAGGAAACAGGAAAAATATACTTGCTGTTTTTCTCTTTCAATAAACATATAATTCGTCTTTACAAGGATTCTCTCTCTTCCTCCCACACGGCAAACAAGTGTTCTTGAGATTAGTCACATCCTGCAGTAACGTGTTCAAGAGACCTTTACACCTGTAACCAATTTTCAGCAGGCCTCAATAACTTTTTCAAATTAGAAGCAGCCGAGGAAAGGCTAGTACTGGGTTTCCTGTGCATCCCGTGGAAAAGAACGCATGTCCAAGTGTAGCAAGACGGGCTCTTACCAAATCACTAGCCTTACCAAACCACAAACCTTTCCAAATTAAACAGCTCCCTTTCCCCTGGAAACCTGCGTAAGGAGGTTCCCGCCCACTTCCGCCCTTTGCAGTCAAACCGACGGCCTTAGTCCCAAAGCTCCCACGTGAACGCGCCCAGAAAATCGTATTTTAGATATGAGAGGCACAGGGCTTGGTTTTTGATCAGCTGGTGGGCGAAGGCCTCTCGGAAGATAACACACCCCTCGTCTGGGCAAAGCGAAGCGCCTGGAGAGGCCTGCGGGGTGGGGCCTGAGCTGTGCCCGCCCTACGCGCGCGCGGTTGCGTCACTAAGCTGCGTCCAGGTTCTCGGCGGCTGCTCTGGTGCGGGCGGAGGTGCTGCCGAAGGCTGTCCCGAGGTAGACTCCTCTTGGCTCTCCCGTGGAGGAGGCGGCGCCCACTGCAGTCCCGGATGCACGAACTTCCCGCGGGACGTCGCCGGAGGCGGTGGCCGTGTGCGCGCAGGAGCGAGCTGCCCGCGTGGGGGTGTGAGCCGGCCCCCGGGTCGCGTCCCGGAGGGAGCCGCGTCGCCCGCCGGCCTGCGGCTGCTCGAAGGTAGCTACTTCCTGTAAGCGAGCTCCAGAGCTGAGCTGCAAGGAGTCTTGGCCGTGTTGGACGGAGACGGGCCCCAGGGGCGACTTTCTTTTTCGCGTTGTTCCGAGGTGGACGCAGCTTCCCTTAGTGAGCCGCAGTGAGGAAGTCCATGGTGAGTCGGATTGCCATTCAATCCGGCGGAAGTCTGGCTGGTTGGCCCTGTCCGGTCTCGTGCTCGATAAGTTCTGTATATCAGTGTTATTTGCTCTCGTGAGTTTTTAGAAGATGGTTTCGGCTTGCTGTAACGTTTTGAGCATGCTTGTTTTAATTTCCCAACACTTAAGAGGGTCGACGAATCATCTTTTTCGTGCAGTTACACAAAACGCAATGTTTCGGGTTCATGCCTCTTTCATTTCTCTACTACTAGATTAGGACTACGTCTTAATTTCTGTTCCTTGAGCTTCTATATCCCATGTGCCCTTCTAATACCTTATTATTATATTTAAACCTAAAAGAGGAAGTCTGAGAGTAGAGAGAGGTCTTTTATTCCAGAGCTATGTGTAGAAGCTCAGTTGACTAGATTTATAGTACTTGCTAAGTGAAAAGAACATAGACGCCAGTAACTATATTTCTGAAAGTATTTAGTAATTTTCATTTCTTTCACCTACTTCCGTATTTTCTTCTTTCTAGGGTGGAACTACTCTGCCATGGTTAAATACTTTAAATGGGAATAAAGGATAGCATTTCCAAGAAAATGAGAATGAATAAGTCGTCTCTATTTTTTAAAAAAAAGACCACATTAAGCTTACATGTAAGTTAAAACTTTAATTTCTAACAGTGTTGTTAAGTAAGGTTGGAGATTAGGTTCTGTAGTATTTATAAGTGTGAGTTTAAAGTTAATAGCCAAGGAACTGAGATGGCTCAGTTGGTAAAGTGCTTATAAAAAGTCAAGCATGTAGTAGCATGCATCTGTCCAGTAAGCTCCAGGTTTATTTAGAGATTCTGTCTGGAAAAATTAGGTAGAGAGTGACTGAGAACACTGGGTTTTCTTCAGTTGCCCACAGATGTGGTCTCACAAGGGAAGTCCCCTCTCCCTCCCATGAACCTACACCCTATGTGCTGGTTTGTACACACAGGAAAAATTAGCTAAGTGTGAAGTTAAGACTACTAAAAGCTTTAGATGTCAGTAAAAAACATACAAAAATAAAGACTTAAGAAGAGAACTTTTAGAACCAGCTCTGGTGGCACAGCACTCAGGAAACTGGAGTAGGAGAGTTTGAAGATCGAGGCCAGCCTGGACTACATAGGGAGAGCCTTCAGCTTTAAAATGTTAAGATGATATGGCAGTCTGGAGAAGAGTCAGTCTGTTTGCTGAGTGGCCCTCTCCTGAGTTCCTGCATTGTGAGATGTGGTTTCTGTAACTGTAAAGGAGAAGTAGTCATATCTTCTGATATTTTGTAAAGTAAGTGGGAGCCCTTGTTACAGAGATAAGAAAAATGGTTCCACTTGCTTTGAAGCTATGTGAAGATATAAAATAATCCACACGTGACCAAATGGTACCCCTTTTTCTATAGAAATTAAAAAAAAGTTCCACCTAAACTCTGACTAATTCATCAATATATGTTGTGGTGTATCCAAGAACTTCTCCGTAGAGTGTGATCTGGTGATGGTGATGGGGTAAAAGACTTAGGTCAAAAGATGCAAGGTAACAGGTATGTAGAATAAGTTGTGAGATTTAATGTATAACATGAAGGTTATTGTTAATAAAAATTGTATTAGAGATTTTAAAAGTCCCTACTTGACAAACTACAAAGAATTCTATATACTTCTGTATTGTAGAACTAAACACATATTTCAGATTAAAACATACTCAGCTATAATATTTTAATTACCTAATTGTATTAATTTTGTGTAAATAAGTTAGAAGTTAATACTTATGTGACGTTCTATGGTGACTGTCGGTAAAAATAACTTGTGGCCTGGCAAAACAAATGGATTGCAGGTGTGTTTTTGTCTCTTGGCTTCGGGTCTTGCATACAGGGCTTCCACATGGTCTGATTTGTGATGCTCTTCTATTGTGCTAGCTCACCTAACTTAGGATCAACCCTAGTACCCAGTAGTCTTTCCTTTCCCAGAAAACAGCATTATCTCCTTTTATGTCAGAGCTTGCATTTGTATTGCTGCTTTGTTCTTTTTCCATCCCTTTCAAGTCTGCTGAGTGTTACCTCAAGGCCTTCTCCTTAACCCCTTAATGTACTTTATTTTTCACCACAGCATTTACCACTTTGCAGTGTCCTTTTATTTATTGTTTATCCCTGTCTCCAACTAGGAGGTAACTTTCATGAAGACGGGAGTTTTGGTCTGGGTTTTTTCTTTTTTTTTTTCTTTTCTTTTTTTTTTTTTTCATGGCTTTAACCCCTGTTCATAATTACATGATGTACTTAGAACATCTTTGTTAGCTTAAGTAAATGTGACAGGAAAGCCAGTTCTTCACTGAGAGCCACAGTGAAGAAGGTTATGATCTGTATAAGTAATCTTAATACAGGTTAGAAAATACAGAGTGGAGCAGGCTGAAGACTAGAGAATTCATGAAACGTAATTACTTTTGCTCCTGGAATTCAAACAGGTCTTTCTTACAAGACTGTTTTTTGATTGGGCCCCTTGCAATGGAGACAAGGTAAATAAACAAGGATATGTAGGAGTAGGTTAGAGTGGCAATACCCTAACCCTGGTAAGAATGCAGTGTATGTGAAATATTACGAAATAAGTTTCCAAGGTTAGGTATGAAACAAGTGAAGGGTCTTAGTTACTGGATTACAAAAGTAAGATTTTGGTAAATAGCGGGTAATCATTCTTTTCTTTTTTTTAAGTTTTATTTCATGTTTTTGCACGTTAACAATTACTAAACCCTAAGTTTTTAAGCAGGAGACTACGGTCAGCAGAGATGTTTTTTTGTCCCAGCTGACAGCACTTATGGTTTAAATTGGAATAGTGCCAGGAGATATGGAGGTACAGATCTGATTAATCAGAGCAGATGCAAGACCATGTAAAAGTGTAATACATGTGGCACAGTTGTCTCTCTTGTCCACTTTGGGTCATGAGAATGGTGATGACATTGTCAGGCCAATAGGAAAATACATGGAGTAGAGAAGTTACCTACACTGGAACCCTGGTTTTAGCTGCCAGTTATCTGTTGTGACTACGAAACAGCCACTGGGAACAGGAGAGAACGAAGGATAAAAACCTGCATTGCATCCTGGTTCTGCTCCCTGCTGGTGCATGACAAGTTATTTAATGTCTCTCCCTGTTTTCTCATTCCTGACCTCTTTTACATATTTTCTCAAGTTTTTATGGAAATGGAATGTGAGAAATTGTCAATTTTAGATATATATTTGAGTTGGTGTAATTTTGATGGTAGAGTTTCTTCTTTGTCAGTTTGTAAAGAAAGTCTTAGTGTAGGGTTCATATATTAGAATACTACTATACCCACTGCCCATTCCTTACACGTTCTCTATAGTATAAGTGAATACAGATCAAATTTGTTAACTTTTCGAAACATATTGCACTTTGAACATACATATACTGAAAGTTTACATGTTAAGTATGTAGAATCATACATACTTAAGAAATACATATATAATATGTAAAAATCACATACATAAATTGTGAAAATTTAGTTTGTTAAAATTTAGAGCAAGATTGAAATTACAAGTTTTAAAATATGCTTAAGATTTGAATCGTGGCTAGTCGCTTTAATTCCAGAACTTGGAGGGCAGAGGCAGACTTATTTCTGAGTTTGAGGCCAGTCTCTGCATAGCAAATATCAGGATACACACTGCTACATAGAGAGATCTTGTCTCAAGCAAAACAAAACAAAAAAATCTGAATTTATTGGGCTAGGTATGGTGGTGGTGTTGTACTGCTTTAATTCCTGCACTTTGAGGTAGAAGCAGGCACATTTCTGTGAGTTCAAGGCCAGCCTGGTTAATAAATCAAGTTCCAGGCCAGCCAGGGCCATACATTGAGACCATGTCTCAACACACAAAAATTAAATTTATTATTTTTGTATTTTTCATTTTCTGCTGTGTTGTCTTTGAACACGGAAACCTTTGGTGGAAGTTTCCGTGGGCTTTTGAACTTCGCCTGGTACATAATAGCTGCTCAGTACATTTACTGGAGAATCTCGTGTAAATGATAGTAACAGTTGGTGGCCATTCTGCCTGAGGCCTTCTTAGAAATAAACTGGGCAGGTTACCAACTGGAGCCTACCATCTTTTGCTTGGAAATCTAGTTGAAGTTAAATTTAGCAAGTTTTCTTTTTTCTTTCTACCTAGGCTGTGCAAAGACTGTTGAGTCTTATTACCAGCTTTGAGATGTACCAGATTTGCACTGTGTAAGAAGGTACACATGTAAAAGCTTGAGGAAGGTGTTAAGTGTCCTGCTCTGTTAATCTCTGTCTTATGTCTTGATACAGGGTCTCTCACTGAACCTGTAGCTGTGCTGGCAACAAGCAAGCCTGAGCAAGCCTGTTTCTTTGCCTTCTCCCTCCTGTTCCCAGTGCTGACATTATAGGCATTGATGACTTTTTTAAACATGGATACTAGGGTTTGAACTTGGATCCTCATTTTTGCTGAGCTATCTTACATACCTCCTATGTTGTTCTCATTCAGCTGTCAATAAGCTTGGCCCTGTCTTATAAAAAATATCTCCATGGCATCCGCTCAACTGCAGGTGGTTGACCTTCAGTTACAGAGAGTAGTAATAGGGTATGACCAGATCAGAGACTAGCAAAGCAACTCATTTATTTCAGGATATTCACACATAACGTCCTGCTACTGAACAGTAAGTCCAGATGAGATAATCCATTTTCATAATTTAGTGGCCGGTTGCTGCCTTAGAATTTTAAGACAAGCCTCCCATTCCTCCCCCAACTGGTATATTTCCAGAAGTAAGCAAACTGAAAAAGCAACCTTAATTCTAGAAAGCCTTTTAAATCAAATTTGTTACCATAAATGAGTGTTTTTGTGGGAAGCCACCACAGATAACTGTACAGAAATTTTAATTTAGAACATGGCTGCCCTAGCTAGAGATCATATCTAAAGACCTAAGTTTGTGTAATTTGGCTGAAATACAAATACGCCTTCAAATCCAGGAGACATGCAAGCAGATCTAAGTTCAAGGCCAGCCTGGTATAGAGCAAATTTCTGGTAAAGAAAAGCTTCGGTGCAGGAGTAGTGGTGCATGCCTTTAATCCTGAACAATCCTGAAGGTAAAGTTAGTTTGTAGAAGGAAGTACCCATGTTTGAAAGTGATGTTTAATCGAATGGCAGAAATAAAGATAAATCAGAGAAAGATTTGACAGAATAGGATATGCCCAACTCTCACAAGAAGAGAGGAAAGGGAAGGTACTTAAGGGACAATGCAAAGAGAGAAGAGGCAGTTTTACTGGTACAGTAATAGTCAGGTTGCAGAGAGAGGTTGAATTTGAGAACAAGCTAGGTCAACACGGAATGAGCCAGAGAATGAAAAGGAGCCAGGAGATTAGAAAAGACTGCTAAGCAGCGCAATTCAGAGGCAGAGAGAAAAAGCCAGATTTACTAAGTTAGTTGGGAGAGGAGTTTGAGCCAAAATAGTTGAGTTGTACCAGCCATCCCAGTGCTCAATAAGAACCTGAAAAGGGTGGATTTATTAAACAGTAAATCTCAGAGGCCTAGATTAGATTGTATGGTGGCTAGAAGCTTTCAGGACTAGGCCTAGGTTAGCAGAAGGAGGCAGTACGCCCCCAAGACAACAACTGAACCAGATGAATAAAAGTTACTTTTACAGGTAACCAAAGTAATTGTCTGTAAGGAGCTTAGTGGTTTTGAAGATGAAGAGGTTTGTGTTTTTTTGTTTTTTGTTTTGTTTTGTTTTTGTTTTTTCAGGGAACTTAGACTTGGCTCAGTGGTTAAGAGCACTGTTGTTCTTGCAGAGGACCAGCTTCACAACCATCTGTAACTCTTGTTGCTGGAGACCTGACACCCTCTTCTGGCCTTCGAGGGTACTGGCGACACACATGGATATATGCATGTAGGGAAAACACTTACATATAAAATAATTCTTTTAACATTTTTTTAAAAGTTTGTCTTCAAAGACAGATCAGTATTTGAGATTTTCTAAAACCACATATACATGATTGAGTCATCTTGCCCCCCCCAAACCCTCTCAACTTTGTATAGTATACAGATAAAAATAAAAAGAAAAGGGAAAATAGATTTTAAGCAGTGTCATGAAACTTTAAATTGTGAAGGAAATTTTTATATAAGGCATAATAGATGTAGGAGCAATTAACTTTTTTTTTTTACCCCCTTGAGACAGGGCTTTTCTGTGTAGCCTTGGCTGTCATGGACTCACAGTGATCTGCCTGTTTCTGTCTCTCTGAGTGATGGGGTAAAGGCATGTGCCACCACACCCTGCTAAGAATTGGCTTTCATTAACGTTAGAATAAAATGAAAGGCTTTCTAGATTAAGGTTGCTTTTTCAGTTTGTTTACTTCTGGAAATATACCAGTTGGGGGAGGAGTGGCAGGCTTGTTTTCAAATTCTAAGGCAGCAACCAGCCACTAAACTAAGAAAATGAATTATCTCATTTGTACTTAAATGCATAAAAGCATTATTTTAATCACCCCTTAATCTTATTGGGTAGGGGGAGTCAGTTCTCACTTCACCACCCCGACACTGGGCATTTAAGATAAACAGCAGTGTCTTAGTTTCTTGTACTCAAACCAGAGAAAGAGAACATTGTACACACCATGCAGAGCCTCATGGGTGTGGTATTAGAATAGGATAAAGAATTTGGGAAGCAGTCTTTTTAATCAGAGGAGTATCTTGTGGTTCCTTAAAGAGTTGGGATGGTTTGATTTGGTTAAGTTCTTAGGCTGGCAAAGTACTGAAGCTCATTATGGGTTATAAACAAAACAGTGCCTGGTTACTGTGATAAAGAAATAGTTTAAATTTGGAATTTTTATTAACAGAAGCTGAGTGTGGAGAGAAATTTGTGGTCAGACAGTTCAAGGTTTTTCTAGCTGAATCAGACAAGGCAGGAAATATTGGTGGTGTTTGTTTATATTCATTTTTTTTCATACTGTGGCTGGCTAATTTTATGTCAGTTTGGCACAACCTAGAACATTTTGCAAGAGAATACCTCAGTTGAGAAAATGCCCTTCCTAGATTGGCCAGTGGGCAAGATGGTGGTCCATTTTCTTATTTGTGGTAGATATGGAGGGCCCAGTTGGCTGTAGGCCATGAACCCTCGGGGCTCGTGGTCCTGTAAGAAAGCAGGCTGAGCAAGCTAGTTAGCAGCACTTCTCCAGGCCTCTGCATCAGTTTGTACCTGTTGAGTTCCTGCCCTGACTTTATTTGATAATGGACTGTGAAATGGAACTGTAAGCGAAATAAACCCTTTCCTTCCCAAAACCTTTGTGGCTGTAGTGGTTTATCACAGCATGAGAAAGCCTAAGATACATAATACATTTTGATCATATTCTTTCCCCTCCTACCACTCCTCTTAGATTCCCCCAACTTCATATTCTTGTTGTCTGTCTCTGTCTGTCTCCCATAGCAATAACCAAAACCAATTTTAAAAAACCAGAAAGACAAAACAACAAAACACACACAAAAAAGTCCATTTTACATTGGCTAACTGCTCCTAGATTGTGTTTGATATACATACTGTAACTCCATTGGAGAAATCTGACTTTCTTCCCCTTCTCAGTGCTGGGATTTTGTCTGATTTGAACTTGTGAAGTCTTGTGTGTGTAATTACAGTTTGGAAGTTCATATCAGTATCAGCCCTGTTATGTCTAAAGATGCTCTTTCCTTGAAGTCATCCACCACTTCTGGCTCTTAAAACTCTTCGGAGCCTAGGTGTGAGCTAAGTGTAACAGCTGTGGGATTCCTTGAGGGCAGCCCTTCTGTGAGGGGAGTCACAGAGGCTTGTCTTTTTTTTTTTTTTTTTTGAGACACGGTCTTACTATCCCAGGTTAAACTCAGAACTTGCAATAATAATGATTTTTTTCTATTTGTTTATTTAAACACATTATAGCCGATCACAGTCCCCCCCCTTCCTCCCAGGCCTACCCTTATGTCCCCCCCAGCCCTCATTTCTCTGCTCCCTTTCTCCTCAGAGAAGGGAAGGACCCACCCTGGCACATCAAGTCAAAGCAGGACTAGAGCATCTTCTCCCGCTGAGGCCAGGTGGGCAGCCCAGTGGTGGGAAAGGGATCCAAAGGCAGGCAACAGAGACAGCCCCCACTACAGTTGTTAGAGCACCACATGAAGAACAAGCTGCACATCTGTTACATATGTGTAGCATGCTCTTTGGTTGGTGATTCAGTCTCTGGGCCTCCATGGGCCCAGGTTAGTTTACTCTATAGGTCTTCTTGTGGGGTATTAATCTGCTAAGCACATTAATTTTATAAAATCATGTTCTTGGTTAGAACTTTTTCATACAGGGTGTGATGATTTCACACCCCTTATTCCAGTCTTGCCTCTTACCACCCTTCCCAATGGTATCATCAAATAATCCCCTGTCTCCTTTCATGTCAGTTATTTATTATTAATAGCTTTTGTTAGTTTGTACAATAATGTTTCATTATCACATTTTCATATAAATATATTCTGACTTTCTATTACTCTATAGTTATCCTTCCTCTTGCCTTTTGATCACTCTCCTCTTCCAAGTAGTTCTGTTCTCATCACACACATGTACACAAAAAATAGATTCTACATACAAGAGAAAATGTCTTATTTTTCTCAGTACCCTTTTTTGCTCCCCATTTCCTTCTTTTTTTTTTTTTTTCTCCAGGTAATCCTCTCTAAAAAAATTTTTGTCATATATGTGTCTGTGTGTGTGTGTGTGTGTGTGTGTGTGTGTGTGTGTGTGTGTAAATTAGAAGACAGCAGCTGTCCACCTTGTTATGTGACAGGAGTGTTTTTATGATGTGTGTTTGTTTTGGTGTTCTTCCAGAAACAGGATTTTTTTTTGTGTAGCTCTGGCTCTCATCAAACTCACTTTGTTGACCAGGCTGGCCTTGAAATCAGAGATTCACCTGCCTCTGCTTCCAAAGTGCTGGAATTAAAGGTGTTTGCCGCCACCGCCATCCCAGACTCTGACCATTGTCATTGCATTTTGCTCATATCTAGTGTTACTACTTCCTGGCCTAACTTTGATATTTTTCAGTTCTCAAGTTTATAGGCTTTCATGATTGGGTTCCATATTACAATACTGACCTACTTGATGAAACTGTTTATTACATATTAATGGCCACTTCAGAATAGATAGTTTTTTAGGGGCAATTAATATTCATTCTATTCATCTGTATTGATCTAGAAAACATGAAGCATACTTTGGAGTTGCCAGAGAGCAACTTTTATGTGGGCATAAAAGGCCAATAATTTGCTTTAGGCGGCTTGCTTATAAACAAGTAAACCAGGCATGCTGAGTGTGATGGGAACAGTGTAAGCAGAGTTCTTTTTTAAGAAATTCTGATAGTGTATAGAAATCATTTTCCATCTTGATCAGAAATCCTACATCCTTCCCTGCATGTGTTTCTGTATGCATGCATCTCTGTAGCTAGTGGTTATGTCAGATTGGGCATAAGGAAGTTATGTTTAAACTTGAGGTGAGAGGTGTTTGAGCACATAGAGCAGTACCTTATATTGTTTAGTGTTTTTCTTTTCTTACATGTATCTGTTGTAATTGGAGACTGACAGTCTCCAAACTCTTCACCTAGGACTTTACTTTTACATCTTGCCTTAGGAGCTGCAGAGGGAGAACTAGAGTGCCCTTGGAAGAGCAATACAAGAAGTGTTTTGTATAGGTGGCAGCTGTTCATTGAGTAGATGAGTGTTATACTGATGCTGCTGCCTTACCTGTTCTCCTTCAGAGGATGGACATTATCTTACACTGTTGGGGCAACTTTGCTTTGGGGACTTGATAGTGATTTTTGCCCTGACATTCCCGCAGCTTTTCAGTATTGAAGGTGTGTTTTAAAACATTTAATGTGGAAATACTAAGCCATGCACAAAAGTTTCTACATGCAGATCTTTATTTTTCAGAAGTCAGGTGAATACTGGGTATGGTAGCTCGCTCATACCTTATAATCCCAATATTTGAAATGCTAACACAGGAGCTGTAATGCAGTTTTGAGGACAACCTGGGATATAGAATAAAAGCCTCAAAAATTAATAAAGTTCTAAAAAATTAAAATAAGTAAAAAATGTTGGTGGGTTTTGTTTGATTTTGTGCAGTACTGGGTCTCAAGCCTAGGGCTTTACAGCTAAGCCCTATTCTCAGTTCCCATGCTGGAAATTTTATATTTATTGTACAAAGTCTGTTGAAATATTTAAGTCAGTTACCTTAGGGATACATAGGAATAAACATCATTATAGCTCACAGGTTGAATCAGCTGTGATAATTCTGTATATTTCCCTGTGTGTCCTCAATGGGCACTGTGTGGTATGATCTTCACAAGGTGTATTGGTCAAGATTCTCTAAAAGAACAGAACTGTTTGAATGCATCTATTAAAAGAGGATTATTACTATTTTTAGTTTTTCTTTTTATGGGTGTTTTGCCTGTATGTATATGCACTGCATGTGCCTCTGGTGCCCATGGAAGTTAGAGGAGGGTACCTAATTTCCTGAAGGCTGTGAGCCACCATATTGATACTTGGAATCAAACATGGGTATTCCTTTGCAAGATGTCTTCGTTTGAGAGGGAGGGTCTCATGGGAGGGCTAGAAGGGAAAAAGGGAAGTTCAGAGAAGTGATGTAGTTATGTATCAGTTAAAAAATAAATTAAGGTAGGCAGTGGTGGTGCACGCTTTTAATCTTATTTCTCAGGAGGCAGAGGCAGGTGGCTTTCTTCAAGTTTGAGGCCAGCCTGATCTATAGAGCTAGCGTCATGACAGCCAGGGCTACACAAAGAAACTCTGCCTTAGACAAACAAACAAAAAGAAAAAAGGAAAAGAAAAATAGGGGAGGGGGAACCCCAAACAAAACTGAAATCCAGAGTAAGACAGACAGATGTACGGGGGTGGGGGGTGGGGCGGGACACAAACAAAACCAGCTGGTTCCAATGTCAGTGAAAGAATGGCAACACTCAAATGCATGAACTTGCCAGAACAGATGAAGGCAAGCAGATGAAAAGCAGTTTCTTCCTTCCATGTTCTTTTATCTAGGCTGCCACCTTATGATGTCACCCATGTTTATGGTGGGTCTTCCTGGTTCACATAGTCTGATCAAAGAAATCCCTTACAGGAGAGGCTGGAAGCTTGCATTTTTCTTGATTCTAGATGCAGTAAAGTTGACAACTGAGATTAGCTACCACATGTGGCAGGATATAAAGGAACAAGCAAAGTGTGTGGGATTTTTGGTCCATATACAGAATCGGAAATGTGCCACATACATTTTCTCCCCATTTACCAGAGCAGGCCTTGTAGCCAAATCCGAAATAAGTGGGATGAGAGGTATCTTATTGAAGTGTATGGGAGTCATAATGAACCTCTACTGGTCTTTTCCCTTTTTTGGAGTGCTACTAACTCAGTGTGGTAATATTGTTTATTGTTACTATAGTACTATTTTGTCCTGTTTGCCTCCCTGTTGAAGACTAATCAATATCAATTTTGTTTTGTATGTGCATTTGCATGGGTGTATCTTTTGCTGGGGAATTAAACCTAAGGCTTAATTAGGCATGTGTTTGGCCCTGAGTGCCTTAGCCCTTACCATTTTATTTAGAGAGTTAAGATAATATTTAATGCCTGCAGCACACATGTAATAAATACTATTTGAACAGAGGTATTATGGGGCCAAGTATGGTGGCATAGATCTGTGATCTTGTACTCACGAGGGTGAGGGAGGAATATTTTTACTTCAAATCCAACCTGAGCTGCATTAGTCTGGGATGCAGAAGACTGGGAAAAAGTATGTTTGGGTTTTTTCCCCTTCTGCTTATATACTTTAGTTTTTACACTAGTGAGATTCATGAGTTGGCTCACTGGAAAAGTAAATGTTCCATCTGTCAGCTGTGGGCTGAGCATTCTGGTGCCATGGTCCTTATGTTTTCTAAAGACCAACAATATTACATTCCATAGACATCTTTGTTAACATTGTTATCCTTTGCTAACAAAATAGTGTGAAAACTGCCTTTTCTCAGCATGTTTCCAGATAGGCTAAGTAGATAGATTATCATATACTTTATATGTCCTTAGAGATTCCTTTTCCATGCCCATCTAGGGGCTTCTCCCTTTGTTGTCAAAGCTGGCCTCAAACTTCTCCTACATCTACCTCCTGAGTGCTAGTATTACAGGTGTGTATTACCACACCTAACCTTATGCATATTTCTTAAAGTATAATATAAGTAGGAGAAAAATTTTAATATCTCTATATAGGGATAAGTATATAGATAAGTATATTGGTAACCTAGATTCATGTATTGTTATATTTAATTTTTTTTGTTCTTTTCCTAACAGCAGAATTATATTATGGACTATCAGTTTAAGTAGAAAATAGTTAAAACAATACAAAGCCAGAGTTTATAAAATTAATCCAAACTTGACTTTGTATTACATTACAATTTACCATAATTAGAAGAAACATAATAAGGTTAGTGCTAAGTTTAGATAGTATATTTGTTTCTAATCGATAGCAGTAAATACTGTTTTTCCTTTATAAGGAGAGAAATGAAGTAAATATTTGAATTGTATTTGGGCTGTCATGATCATTTTGTGAAAATCTCACTTTATTTTTTATCATTTAGATTTGAAGACTGTATCATCCTGTCTCCAGTACAAGCAGTTTTTTCTCTGTTCTGTGATCAATGTCACTCACAGGAACTTAAGTAACAAACGAAATGAGCCTGGGGCGTGGAAAATATGACTTTTATATTGGTCTGGGGTTAGCTATGACCTCCAGCATTTTCATTGGAGGGAGTTTCATTTTGAAGAAAAAAGGCCTTCTGCGACTTGCCAGAAAAGGTTCCATGAGAGCAGGTAAGTTGTGTCCTTAATAGGTATCAGAAAGTACATGTATATTCATACACTCAAGTTCTTTTGAGTATAGAAGACTGTTTTCATTCTTTGCCAATATATTTGAACTGTTCAAGAGATTTCTAAACATTAATGAGAAAAATAAGTTGTCAAAATCCTTAACTGCTTACTTCTGTAGTTACTGTCAAAACAGGAACAGGACAAGTGCAGTGCCAGATGAGTCTCCAGAGCTTAAATTTCGTCGTGTTTGTTCAAGAGAAAATGGGATCTGTGAATAGAACTAGGCTTTTATTAGAGACTTCTACCTTAAATTTTTTTCTTGAAGATTTTAAATTGCACGAAGGAAAAAATGGTTTTGCTTGGTTTGAGTATTCCACTAATTGACCTGAATGGTGAAGGTTGTTTCCCCTCAAATTGCTGATATGTTACTAGACTAGAGGATACTCAATGTAACCGAACTTGAGTTCAATCTATGGTCGGTCATCCACTACATTTCCCAGCATTGTGAGATATTTGTGCTTAAATTCGGTAGTCCTGAATATGTTTCATTTTAGATCTTATTGGACCACATCTTTGGCAGTCAAATGGGTCACTTTTCTTCCTGTGCTGTCTTTGTGGCCAGATCTAATTTAGGAATGTTAAAACATAAAACAGTCTTAAGATTTAATGGATAAGGGAGAAACATACTAGCTTTTTTTCAATAGTCTTTTAACCTTGTTCTTAAGGTAATCCCCTGTTATATTCCTAAAGCATAGGCTTGTAAAATTCATTCACTTTGGTTTTCATTGACAATGGCTGAAGTACCAATTGCTTCCTGACTTAGTTTGGTCAAGGGGAAAGCCAAGGAAAAAGTAGCTTTTTTCCTGGTAGCCTAGATTATGAGTAGTTCTCGGTCTTTGTAGGACCATAGTGTCTTCTCAAGTGGGGCTACATCTAAATAGCTTTCCTCTTTGCAGACTAACCCATTTGAAGTTGATCTACTTCTGCAATCTCCTCCTTTCAAAAAGAATCTTATTCTAATTCAGTCTCTCCTTGAACTTACTCTGTAGCCCAGGCTGGCTTCAGGCTTATAGATGCATCTTGCATCTTGCTTGAGACTTCTAGGTGCTGGGATTGCTGGTGTGCACCACTCTGCCCAGCTTTGTTACTTTTTGTTGGTTCATTTTTCTTATTTATTAAAGCTGCCTTTTGAAAAGGAACTAACTACAAGAGTTAAATTCTTTAACTCAAGAGGATAGTACAAATGTTAACATTTTGAAGAGTCTCCTGATCCTGGCAACCATGAAATACTGGAGAAATCTTATAATCAGATGTTTTAAGATCTGTGATTACGTAATAATTTTTACAGGCTTTACAAGAGAATGATAATCTTTCAAAGAAATAAAATATTTCTTTGTTTACAGGTCAAGGTGGCCATGCATATCTTAAAGAATGGTTGTGGTGGGCTGGACTGCTGTCAAGTATGTATTTACATATATTGTTGCAGCTCATATTTGCAAATTTTAAAACTTAATATTTTTGTTTTTATAAGTTAACTTCAAAGTAGATTTAAGACTATAAACGTAACTTAGTTAATTGCTTATTTATTTTGAATGATAAGATCTTAAAAACTAATCTGCTTAAAACATTTTTGATAAATATTGCCTTTAAAAACACTTCCAGGATCAGTAGGTTAAAAGGTGTGTGTGTGTGTGTGTGTGTGTGTGTGTGTGTGTGTGTGTGTGTG